CTTCCTGCCTTCACTTCCTGCTTCCCCTGCAGCCATTGTAGTCAAGCATTTCTACCCTGGACCTGTCGCTATTCTGGATTCCTTGTTCTTCGCAACTGTCTACAGCCCAACTCCAACGAGGGTGCCCGCCAGCCACCTCGGGGTGATTTTACATTCAAATATGATACTGGACAACATCCAAGCAAAGCTTCATAACAAATGTAGGTGTCTCCAGTCTCTCAAGATTGACCTGCAGCAAAGCATGTCAAAGATGTCTCCACTCTCTCTCTGAAGTCCTGTTGACAGTTGTGAGGTGGCAACCTTTCCTCTCTCATCTTCTTCCCACCCCCACCGCCCCCAGGGGACCCACCCCGCTGCTTTTCTTCCCAGCCCTCTCCCTCCCTCCACCACCCATTGCTTTCTCCTCCTGGTTTAGTTTTCCCTTCATTCTTTTCTTATTATTGTTTCTGGAAGCTGGTTCTATTTGAGTAAATGCTTAAATAAACTAGAAAACGTTAAAGCTAAACACCCCCACGCCCCTAAAGAAAACAACCAGGAAATCAAGCAAAGCACAAACGTGTGCTAACTCGCCCTGCAGGGTGGGGAAGCTCTTGCTATTAAGTTGCAGGCTCCAAGGCATTAGCTACATTTGTTCTTGTGTCAGAAGATAAAAGCTGAGTCTTATCAAAGGGTAACGGATGTCAGTCAGACTTCATTGTGGCAAAAAAAGGGTCACCTCAAAAACCTGTTAAGCTTGTTAAAAATGCCACTTTCTGGGCATCAGTCCCAGAGACTCCCTTTCAGGGCCAGGGGCCCTGGAATCTGCATATTAACAGGCTTCCTGGTGATTCTGAAGGGGTGGCCCACGGACCCTTTCGGTCTTGCAAATGGAAGATTCCAGAATCCAGCCGGAAGAGGCTGCTAGCCAACTCCAGGCTGGGCCTCCCCGCAGACCCCAGCCCCTGAACTGCACAGCCCCCTTTCCAGCCCAAGTTCCTAATGCACCTTGTTGTTACACTACATTCACCGTGAGGTTTTAAGTTTGTGATAAAGCACAGATGGGACCTTGCCTTTGTTACAGTAAGGAAATCCTCAGTCACAGCAGAAGTCCAGAGTGCCTACCACTCTCAGAACTGGGTTCAGAGCCTGTCCTGGGATAATAGGAAATGATCTTCTTTGTATCAGCTCTGCCCGAACTTTCCAAGGAGTTCAGACCTAGGGCCAAAGGGTCCAGGTCTGAGGAACTGGAAACCGAGATGGTTTACCAGGCACAGGCTACGCATGTAAATCAGGCATGGTCCAGATATGGAAACAGCCAAATCTGCCCTCTGGCCTCTGCCTGGTGACATTCAGGCTGTGTTGGCATTTGTAGGTGCCACAGGGTGGCCTGGCTCTCTCTCTAATCAGATGCCAATGGCTGGTCATAGAGCAAAGCTGTCCCCAGTGCCAATGCATCTCATCTCTGGTCTTGTCCGAGGGACACACCTGGTGGCACCTTGCCCGTAGGAATCCTATGCTGGGAGGGTCTTCTTTGAGTGGCATTCCCTCTACTAGATGGCTCTGGAGATGCGAGTGGCCTGCTTGAGACCAGGGGAAGAGTGAGTAAGACGGTAGCTTCTTGGATTTTATGATCTCATGGGTTGCTTCACATGGTAGGGCTGTTGAAATGAATAGGGTCTGTGCTCTTCTTTTTTCCAGGGATGATGGCAGAAGGGAGAGCCTGGAATCCCGTAGCCTATACACCCAATTTCAGGAGGAGAGGAGCTCTATGGGATGGTGTGGGAGCATCTGTAGGAGGAAAGAAGCAGTCAGGCTCCTCAGGGCTCAGGGGAGGGAAGGAGAGAGGTCAAGTCTCACAGCGGGACCGACCAGGTGAGCTGGAGTCAGAGGTCCAAGCCACCTGCAGGATGTGAGCCTGTTTGCAGGGCCTGGCTCTCCCGGAGCTCGGAGGGAATCTTGAGAAAGGTACTCAGCCCAGATGCTGATTGCCCATTAAGTCTACGTCCCCCGAGAGCAGGTGTACTTGACCGGGAGACCATGCCTTCCCAGCTCGTAAGAATGCGTTTTCCGAGGTTGAATTTCTGGTATCAGCTGGAGGGGGGAACATATTCTTAGACACAGTTCCTCTGTCACTCTTGGGCGGGGGAAGACCTAAGCTCTGAGCAAGCCCTGGCCAGGGGAAGCGTGTGTGTGTGTGTGTGTGTGTGTGTGTGTGTGTGGAATGGAACTGAGCTGCACCAGGAAGGGAGAAACAGCCTGGGGCAGAGCTAGAAGGGGTCCCCGGGAGGAGGCGATTGAAGTGTGTGCAGGCATCTGCTGGTTTCATTAAGAATTTTTGTTTGTTTCAGGATTTTATTATTCATTTATTTAAAAAAATTTTTAAGGGTATTTATTTATTTTGAAAGACAGGGAGAGCAAGCAGGGGAGGGGCAGAGAGAGGGAGAGGGAGAGAGAGAATCCCAACCAGGCTCTGAGCTACCAGCACAGAGCCCAATGCGGGGTTCAGACTCACATACCGTGAGATCATGACCCGAGCCAAAACCAAGAGTCGGATGCTTACCTGACTGAGACACCCAGGTGGCCCTCAGGATTTTTTATTTATTTATTTATTTTTATTTTTTTTTCAACGTTTCTTTATTTATTTTTGGGACAGAGAGAGACAGAGCATGAACGGGGGAGGGGCAGAGAGAGAGGGAGACACAGAATCGGAAACAGGCTCCAGGCTCCGAGCCATCAGCCCAGAGCCTGACGTGGGGCTCGAACTCACGGACCGCGAGATCGTGACCTGGCTGAAGTCGGACGCTTAACCGACTGCGCCACCCAGGCGCCCCCATTTTTTCTTTTTTTAAAATGATAAATAAGGAGGACAGAGAATGGATAGCTAGCTTATGGATAATAGATGTTCTTGAAAGAGAGCCCAGAACAAAAGGATCAGAAAGATTTAATGCAGCTGCTAAAAAAAAGGAAGCAGGGATGTATATTGTAGGGCTCAGTGTGCTAGGCAAGATCAATGACAAGAATATTACATTGAATCCTGTGCTGTCAAAAACACATAGCGATAGAGAGAAAGGGGACACTGGATATGTGTCCACATACCGACAAAGAAATGGAATTGTGGCTGAATGCAGGCTTCACCGTTGTAGGATAAAATGCCCAGACACAGTGGGCCAAAGTCTAAATCGAGTTTGAAGGTGAGAAGTTGTGATAAAATACATACTGTACCCCAGTAGTGAATTTAGGAAAACAAAAGAAGACATTCAGAGCTGTGCAGATTCAGAAAACATGCCACCCGGAAAGTCTTCTTTTAAAATTACTTAAAAAAAAATTTTTTTTTTAAGTTTTACTTATTTTTGAGAGAGAGAGAGAGACTGAGTGCGAGTGGAGGGGGGTGGGCAGAGAGAAGGAGACACAGAATCCGAAGCAGGCTCTTGGCTCTGAGCTGTCAGCACAGAGCTCGATGCTAAATTTCAAACTCATGAACCATGAGATCATGACCTGAGCTGAAGTCAGCCACTCAACTGACTGAGCCACCCAGGTGCTCCTTCTTTTAAAGTTAGTTAAACATATACTTCACTGATGGGAAGAAGGAGCCGAAAAATAAGCAAGGCAAAGTCACGGCAAAAAAAGACTTTAAATCACACCATTAATATTGCTCTCACGAACATGGGTGATTGTATTACACACATTTTTAACGTTTGCTTTTCAATTCTGGTGTATATTTGACATAACAAATGATTTATGCAATGTAAAAATAACAAAGTAATGACATATATAATTGAATAAAATTAAAATAATTAATATAGAGTAAAAGTGAACATTTACTAATTATCATAAAGAGCTACATTGTAAAACAGTGAATAGACTGGAATAAGGGGACTGAGAGGTACAAAAGGTGAAAAACACTTTGGCCTAAATGTGTGGCTCATTAAAGATATTTTATTTTATTTTATTTTATTTTATTTTATTTTTTACCTAGTTTTGAGAGAGAGAGACAGAGACAGAGACAGAGACAGAGACACGAGAGTGAGCAAGGGAGGGGCAGAGAGAGAGGGAGACACAGAACTCAAAGCAGGCTCCAGGCTCCGAGCTGTCAACACAGAACCCGATGCGGGGCTTGAATTCATGAACCGTGAGATCATGACCTGAGCTGAAGTCAGATGCCCAACTGACTGAGCCACCCAAGTACCCCTATTTTTTACTTTTTTAAGTTTATTTATTTATTTCTTTTTAGAAGTAGGGGGAGGGGGGAAGAGAGAGAGAATCCCAAGCAGGCCCTTCAGTGTCAGTGCAGAGTGCAACATGGGGCTTGATCCCACCACCCTAGGATCATGACCTGAGCAGAAATCAAGAGTCAGATGCTCAGCTCACTGAGCCACCCAGGTGCCCCTTGGCTCTGACATTTAAAAAACAAGTTAAAAATACATTCACAAAACTTGCAGGTAAATATTGGGAGAATTAAAAACTGTTACAGATGCCTTCCAGAGTAGAAGGTGAAGACAAAGAAAATGTTGACAAAAATCATGGGGAAGTATTCCAAAGAGAAGGAATAAAATGATATGGCAGAAATAAGGCTAACTACAAACAACTCATGCATGAATGACTTCATAGAAAACTATAAAAGTGGACCTGATTCAAAAGCAAGAGAATACCTGAATAGTTGAATGACCATGAAAAAGCAGAGATCATGGTCAATATTACTTCTCAAAAGAATGATGGGCTATATAATTTTATGAGCTGATTCTTTGAAAACATTATAAACTATTCCAGAGCATATAAAAAGGTAGAAGATGTTAGGGATTATCGTACCCAGCTGGGGTAGCCCTACATCTGATTATGACAGGACATAGAAGTGTGAGGACCAACCTCTTTCATAAGTACAGGAACAAAAATTCTGAAAAACACTCTCTGCAATGATATTGAAATATATATATATATATATATATATATGTACACACACACACGCACAGATATATATATATATATATATATATATATATATACAAAAATCAATTGCATACAACTTTAGAATTCAGTTTAGTTTCTTTTTCATAGTGATGTGAGGGTAGAAATTCTGAAGCTATTGTTGTAGTATTGTTTTAGTTGAACAAATGAGTATATATACTGTGGGAGAAGAGAGATGTAAATATTGAGAAAGAAGAGGCCTTAGATGGGGATGAGAAGTGTATTTCACACACACACACACACACACACACACACACACACACACACACTTTTAGGCGTAGAAAGAAAAGACAGGTGTGATGATGGGACAAGGCTCTGACTTTGAGTCAAGAGGGCAGCCAATAACATTCTAGACTCACTGGCTGTCTAAAGACGGCCAGGGTCACATCATCTGGATCCTGAAGTTGGGGTGCCTTAGTTTTTCTAGAACACGGTCAAAGAGTCTGGAAGCTGTTTTCATTGGCTTTGCAAAAAATAAACATCTCTTTGAGGTCCTTTTCAAATTCTGCCTCCAAGTCCAATCCTATCTGACCAAAGTCAGAAGCCTGAAAGACAAAAAAAAAAAAAAAAAAAAAAAAAGCAAACAAACAGGTGTCTAAGGACAAAGAATCAGGACCATCAAATCGCTTGCATTTTTTGGAGCCCCGCCCTCCCTGTCCTGAATGCTGTGCTTCCCCATCAGCCAGGCAGTGTGTGTGTTGTGTGTGTATGTGGAGTTTGGGGGGGAAATGTTGCTGCCATAATATTGAAATGGATGAGCCTCTGCCCAGTTCCTAACGTGGAACTGACAAATGGTCAGGGATGGAGAGCTGATTTTGATCACAGCAAAGCCTGAACTTGGTGTAAAATAGATAAAGATAAAGCATTTCTTGACAGCCCCACTCTCGGAAGGAAAAGATGAGCGTTCTGTTCTCCAAGGCTAAGACTGGGCCAGGCATGGAGGGGCTCCCTGGGTAGACTCTTTCTCCCTCCAGCTCCCTGCACAGACATCAGTTTACAGTTTGTGGTTTGGGAACAGGCCATCTTGTGCCATGGGAAGAAGGGGAAGGAGGCTGGGTGGAGGTAGAAATCTTCCTTAGGTACTTCCCAAGAAATATCTGCACAAATGATAGGAAAAATCAGGATAAACTCAGCAAAGTAAAGTTAAGAACGCATCGGCTTGCACAGTAGCACAACTAGTTGTCTCTCCCTACTGACAAAGGATGAAGCCACCACCAGCTGAGACAAGTCTGGATGTTTGGGGCCACTGGGAAATTTAGGAGTAGAACAATCCTAGTATGAGCATTCTGGGAGTTTAAGTTATTTCATCAAGTTTAGTTCATTCATTGATTTCTGTATTTCTGAGGCATGCGGAACAATGTAACCGTTAACTACCTTTCCTCTCTGTTTGAACGAGGAGGCAGGATGAAATGGATTGTCCTCGGTGGGACTCTCTTGTCTGTCCTCGAGCGGAGGATGGAGCTTTTTTTCAGGTGCTGTTTACAAGGATTCTTCCCTGTCCTGCTTGCTATCCCCTCGGACATCCTCCTCACCACCGCTGGAATTTACAGGCTGTTTTCTTCTGTAATCCTACTCTTTTTGACCTCTCTCTGGGACAAGGTCCGTACAACTCTTGCAGAGTTCTGCTGTCCCGGAAATTAGGGAAAATTGGAAAGGACGTGCAGAAGAAAGAGGAGATGCCCTTCTTTACCTTGTAAAACATTTTATGGTTGTGAAAGATCAGGCGCACGTCCCGCACAAAGCACGGCACCATATACACTTTCTCAGTCAACCTTTCCTTAACCAGGTCCAACCACATGCCTTCCTTAAAGGGGTCTCCATAATCGTAAATACAGGGACAAAGCCACCAAAGGGGTGATATTAGCACGGCCATTGTTACTGGAATGGATCCAGTAATGTAACTGGATCCTGAAATATAACAAGCCTTCATGTCCAGGGTGGTAATGATATTAGCATCTGCCGTGTCTATGCCAGGCACCGTTCTAGGCACTGCCATGATATTAACTCATGATCCTACAACAACCCAATGATGCAGGGGCTGTCATTACCCCCATTTTCTAGCTGTCATTACCCCCATTTCCAGGGGATGGAGAAGTTCAGCCGCCTACCCAGGATTTCAAGGCTAACCAGTGGTAGAGCTGGACTCGAAGTCCCCTGAGACGGTGCTCTAAACCCTGTGCTGTCTGTAAGAAAGACGTTTCCACCTAAGAGAGGATGAAACTGAGGTACATGGGAGGCGGAGCAAGTCGCCCGGTGTCCCAGAACCAGGACGCGGCGGGTGGAGTGGGACCCAGGGAGTCCCTCTCCACAGTCTGCAGCCAAACCCGCTCTCTGCAAGCAGGGGTGCCTGCAGGAGTCACACTCCAAAATTCCAGAAAGAGTTGTACATAAGAGAGATGCCCGGAGGACGAGAATCATAAAACATGACTTATATTATGTGGGGTTTCTGCAAAAAAGGAGCTTTGTGGGTGACAGTAGGCCTTCAAGAGGAGGAACCCACATTTCTGTAAAATGTGAAGAGACCTTTTACAGTGAAATGCTCAGAGAAAGTGAAGCCAGGCCTGTGCCCAGGCAGACCCAGCCAGCCGTCCAACCACGTTTGCCAAAGGACCGAGGTGTGCGTTGAACTGTGTTCAGGCACCGAATCTCCATCCTCAGAAGAGAGACGCCAAAAGCTCCCTCGGGCGCCCTTCCCCTCTCCCTCGTCCCGTCGGACTTCTCGCTGTCAGGGGGAAGGTGGAGTTCGCACCCAGCTCACCAACTGTTCCTCAGGCTGTATCAGCCTCTCCAGGACCTCGGATTTCCTGCAACACTGCTGCCTTCCCGAAGACTCCATCCTGCAGAAGGTGCAACTCCACAGGCTCCTGGGAGGACAGGCAGAAGTGAGCGGGGGGGGGGGGGGGGC